CCACATGTACGGGGCCACTGTGAACAGATTGAGTGTGTACATAGTCAATACAGCAGATACTCTTGGTACACCTGTGTGGTCAATAAGAAACGAGCAAGGAAATGTTTGGCGACGTGGACAAATTTTTGTGCAAACAAGTAGTGCTTACCAGATAGTGTTTGAAGGAATTGCAGGAACTAGTTATACAGGAGATATTGCTTTAGATGACGTCAGGATCACCGATGGAGCATGTGTGCGAAATGGTATTATACACGTCCAGCTTCTTACACTTCACAGCCATAAACAATGTTATAATCCCTGTTGTCACCTTATATATTTACCAAACGTTATCATCCTAGGTTCGATGCAACCTGTCATATTTCCATCTAGCCCTTCCATAGATCTACTGTATTACCACTTAGATAGCTGCATCCGACCTGTAACCTTATCATTATATATTTTTGCAATAATTGTTCTCCACGTGCTAGCAAATTGACGATTGAATCATTAGATTTTGAAGAAATGAATTGTGGTTTAAAATAACACACAACATGAATAGGCATAGTTGTTATTATTTAACTTTTATCTTTTAGGTGGGTTATCGTTATTTTGTTAAGTATACTACTCTCTATTATGCCGGTGATGATATACTTACAAGTTGAGAGTTTTAAGCAGAAATCGGCTTTACAGAATCTAACCCCAGACAATCTCTCGCATACTACTGACTGAAATGCTCAGACATTATAGAAGCAAAAGTTAGCCTACATACATATAATTAATAATAATGCACATTTTGTCAAAACAATACTACATCGACCTACTACCGGTGACCACCTTCTATTATGCCGGTGATAATATAAATACGAGGAATGGTAATTGAAGGATCTTGAGCTCTACTCTTGATGAGGACAAAAATGTAATTTAAAAAAATGTTTTTATACAATTAGTATTATTTGTGATGAGAAATGATATTCTATTAATACGAACATTATATTTAAATAGTTTATGTTTAATTTCTATTTGAAGAAACGTGTGATATTAGCTGCTTGAACGGCGGAGTCTGTTTCATCTCAGATTATGGATTCGAAAACTGTCAATGTACGCTTGGTTTTGTTGGACCAACATGCAATATAAGTAAGTTTTTACAGTCATAAAAGGTGAATTAATTTAATTCTTCCATGGGAGTAGGTATTGAGCAGTTTCATCTAAAAAGATTTGTATAAAGAA